TCTCCTCACCCCATCCATCTTCCCTTCTCGTTGTAGCCCCCCAGTTCCCTAAAACCCTGAGCTTAGGAGCTAGTCCAGCCGTGCCTGCCTGTCCCCTGCCTCGTTTTCTGTCTCTTTTTTTCGCAGCTTGCTGTAGGGTCTCATTTCCCTGCCCAATCGCGTGTCGTGTGGTTCTGCTGCAGTTCGTTTTCCTCTCCTGAGGGGATCCTCTACACAGGCCATCCCACAGATGCGTGTTGGGCTCCTCTGGAGAAGGTCCTGCTTGTGCCCCTCACCAGGAGAAACCACCGGGAAGAGCAGGTCCTTTAACGCAATTTGGAGGAGTCTGTGGTTTCTGCTGCTCAGTCCAGCTTGTTGATGGCGAAGGCTGGATCCTGCTCGTGCCGGTGGTGCAGTGCCCAGGAGGCAGGCGACCTCCGTAACGTGCCTGCTGGAGCGCAGAGCAGTAACCCGTATGTGCCCCCATGCAGCACTTGGCCATTAGGGCTGATTTTTCTTCTTTACAACGCCCTGCCCTACTGGGTCCGTAGGGTTCTGGAGCAGCAAGGGCACCCGCTCCCACACGGGAGGGTGAGGTGGGAGCCGAGCATGAGAACAAGGCAGCAGGAGCAGCGGCTGCTCCCAGGACAGCAGCAGGGCCGCGATCCCGCCGGGCTCGCAGAGACGCAGCGGGATAGCCTGACTGGGACGTCACGGTGGATACGGGCACTTCAGGGAGGAAGGACAGGCCGGGAGGATGAGGGGGGAGCAGCTGGAGCGTGCGGAGCTCCGCTATGGGATGGTGATGGCCTCACCGAGGGCTCCTGCGTCCGTGTTAGGGGCAGGCGAATATGTGGAATGTTGCTGCGGATGTTTCCTCAAGTTGTAAATGAGGCTTCTGCTGATGGCTAAAAGTAGCCTCACACTTACAGACTCTGGTCCTCATGGAGCATCAGCAGCCTGCAGTACGGTCTGTGAGGCCCATCCTGACCTGTTTCTTCTCTCTTTTGATCTTTTTATTGAATACAGCAGGAAAAACTCAGCACTTTGTCACGGTCCTGCACGCCCAGGAGACAGCCCTGGTGAAGGAGTGACAAATGGTGGACCTGAGTTTGGGGATTAGCAGCTCAAAGTGGCTGAGGAGCAAAAGAGCAGGGAGAAAGCAGGTGATGTTGAACTCTCCCTCCAGGGGATTTGATATTAGGTTCCTATCTCAAGACTTCTTATCCCGTGGCATTTGGCTCCCCGCAGCTCTGCCTTGCAGAGGGAGCTGCAGTAGCAGTGGCATCCCCGCAGGAGGAGTGTCCGTGTATTGACAGTAACATTCCCTACCTCTCCTAGCTCTGGGAGCCGTTGGGAAGCAGACGTGCAGCCGGGCAGTGGGCAGCCTTCAGGTGCTGTGAACAGGAAACAGTCTGACCAAGCCTCCGAGGCAAAGCTGGAGTAGTTCACGTCTGACAACAGCTTCCGATTCCACTTCACAGCTGCCGAGATGGACCTGGCAGCAGTCAGCATGGCTTTGAGAGCAGCTCCTAGTGCCGCTGGTGCTGAGCAGAAACAAGCTAATGTAAGAACCCCAGAGCAAGAGAATTTGAGTGAAACCTTGAGTTTTGCTGCCTTTGGACAAGAACCCAAGTTCACTTTCAACTCTAACATCCCAGGTGAAGATCATCCTCCGGCCCCACTGGGTCTAGCGAACCACAGAACTAGGGAACCCACAGAGAGCGCAGCGGCCTGTGAAGCACCAGGCAATTCCCTGCCCCCGGAATCACCAGGTGGGCTGGAGAGTTCGGCCTCGCAGAAGCCTGAGCGGACTCAGACCACAGACAGTGCAACTGGAGAAGACAGAGGCCATTTCACATCCAACAGGCCCAAAGCGGAGAGCACTCCTGCAGAGGAGGCAGTGACAGAAAAAGCAGCAGCAGATGGAACGGCCCAGAAGAAGAAAAAGAAGAAACAAAAAGCAGCTAGCAGTAAAAAGGAGAAAGAAGAACCTGAGATAAACAGGGAGGCAAAGGCAGAAGCCAGCGGATGTCTGACTAAAGATGTATCCCACCAGGATGAGACCACTCAGGTATCTGAATGCGGATAGGATTCCATAAATTATGAACCTTTCAATAGAAGAGAAATTTGTTGTCTGTGCACAGCTTATCAATTAGTGTCCTGGCATGAACGGCAAGCTGGAAAACAAGGGTTGCTGCTTATTTCTTACAGCAGCTGTTTTCTTCCTCTGCTAGTCAGCTGAGGGACCGACATAGTAGAAAGGAAGTTAGTGCTTTTATTTGTTACCTGCTGGAGACCTGTGCTGAAACATTCTGTGTTTCATTATGTGTGAGACCTGTGGCAGATAACCTCTGGGAGGCCAGGGACCACATTTACCTTAGGAAAAAAAATTCACTGCTCTCAGAGCCAGGCTGTGAGTGCTGAATCGGGCACTCGCCCATCACTTGCCATCAGGGAGGAGAATTTAGGCAAATAGCAAAGTTGAGGTGCAGAGCTGCCTCCAAGTGGCATCTGAGACACCAAGATTCTGCTTCTGGACTTGTCCATTGCTTGCTCTATGGGCAGCCTAGTTTAATATTATTATTAATGCCTATTTCTCCCATTGTAAGTTGGTTTCACAGCTTCTTTGATATCCTGAAATCCTGAAGGGTTTTCCAGAGAACTGCATCTTCTGAAGGGCAGCCAGATATTAAGCCCACCAAATAGAGATAGCGAGTCACAACTGAACATTTTGTATATCATTCTACATTTATCCAATGAAAAACACTGCAGGGCAGGTCTTGTGAAGTTTATAAAGTGACACCAAAACCTGAAATTCTGAGTTAGTCCTGATTTTACATAGATTTCCTTTGGGAAATGTTTGGAGGACTTATTTCCCTGTGTTTTACTCTGTATAGCAATCAGAGGACCAGCTGCGGAAAGAAGTGGACTGGTGTGTGGAACAGCTGGAGCTTGGCCTGAAGACCCAAAAGCCCACTCCTAAACAAGGTGAGACCTGAGGGAGCAGGGGGCTGCCAGGCAGGACGGCGGCGCAGGGGAAGGGCCCTCGCGGAGTCTAAACTGTGGCTCGTTGGTGCTTCCCGCTGCTGCAGCGGAGGAGGCTCTGCGTGCCATCAGGACGCTGCGCAGCGACAAGGCCCCGCTGGTGAAGAAGCGCCAAGTCATGAGGACTTTGTTCGGGGACTACAGGAGGAGGATGGAGGAGGACTGGTGCCAGCAGCTGAAGCTCATGCAAGCAGGTAGGGGACTGTGCGCAGGGGGAGTCGGCTCCCCACGGTTGCAGAGCCTCCTTCGCTCTCACCCTCCACATAGCTCAGGAGTGGGATGTAAGATGACTAAACCCCTCTTCTTATTTTCTTCTCCCCTCTGCAAGCTATGAAGTCTGCCCGGATTGTGGAAGTGAAGGAGGACATCCGCAGGAAGAGCTGCCGGGTTGTGCGGAAGCGCTCTGGAGCTTGCAGGAAAAGGCAGGATTCAGCAGAATCCCCTTCGACATCACCCAGGACATCTAACACAGACTCATTCAGATTCACAACTTCCCAAGAAAAGTTTTACTTTAATTTTTTCTAGGAAGGTTTTAGACTAAAATTGTGGCTGAAAGCTATGCCAAATTGTCTGCAGACCCAAGATGGTTAGAAGAATGCAGGGCAAATGTTACTTAAGAATCTGTGGGTATTTCCCAAAGAAAGGATTGTCTACCAGCGTGCCTTATGTGGAGATGTATTCTACACACAACTCCAGTTCTCAGTGTACTGTCCTCACGTTATAGCAATTCACATTTTCAAAAGAGCAGCAGTGACTCGGATATCCAGAAGGCCCTGGGTACTGTCTTTAATTAAATGCAACTTTGCAAGAGTTCAGGAACTGAGAGGAAAATGAAGGGAATCATCTTTGCTCATTCATTTCGCTACCTGGCAGGCACAGGCTTAGAGCAGAACTGCTGATGCTGATTTACTTTAGCTTAGGGATGTTGGGCAACTGTTTACAGAGGGGAAAGATTTTAGTTTCTAAAGTCAGGTCCTCACCAGCTAGGGAGGATATACAGTCAGTTTTTAAAAAAAGAAGCTTACCTTATAAGTGGCCCAGTGACAACCAGCAGTGACTCAGAAGATAAATTGACTGTGTCCCAAACCTTGGGTGACAGTGAAACGGGCTGTGACAGCCCAAGGAATCTGTTGCATTTGATCTGTATTAATTTTCTACTTTCTTGTATGGCTTTGGTGGCTCACACTATTTCAGCCACTGAACCTGTCACTCATGTTCATGCAGAAAATCTTCCCCATTCAGTCCTAAAAAGGTGGAGGAATAAAAGACCTTTAAAAACAAATGTAGTGTCAGATGTCCCCATGGAGCAGGGCTTTCCTATCTTTTAGAGCCCAGCCAGACGTACCGTATGAGAAGCAAGAAATGGAAGTGGAGGCAGATTCCAGGGTGGACTGAGAGACAGTCGGAGAAACGGTTTGTTGAAGTCTTTTTCCTGGAAAAAAAAAAAGGAATTAAGCTCAGATAAAGTAAATTGCATCTGGAGGATTTGTTTTCAATATTTAAAATAATGACTGTTCAAAGGCACAAGGGGAGAGTGAAACTGTGTAGCATATCCAATAAGGAGAAAATATACAGAAGACCTAAATAAACTGGAAATGGGTAGCTCAGTCATTCCTTCCCTTTCTGGTGAGCACTGTTGCCATGTTGTCCTGCATGCACAGGACAGCAGTTTGCAGACTCTTACCTAGCTGCTTATGCAGCGTATATTAGAGAAATAGTGGTTTTTTTTTTTTTTTTTTCTCCATGTTGTTTCAGGTGAAGTTCGAGTTGATAAAACTTCATAAAATCCTGTGCTTTGAGAGCTCGGGAGAGTATCCTGGGAAGCATTTGTACATGACTGCCTCATTCTTCAGGCACTCCCAGCTAAAATAAAGGTCCTGCTGAGGACCTTTGGTGCCACCTAATCCCGCCAGCTTTGTGCTCTTGCCTCCGTGGCGGGCAGGAGAAACGTCTTCCTACCGCAGGAGAGGCTGCTGTGGTGGGCAGGTTTCATGTGAGGTGTGACTTGCCGAGCCACCCTGTCCTTCAACCCTGCAGGGGTACTGCAGGATTGGAGGCTCACAAGGCACATGTTCCCCAGAACTATTTGACCCAAGTAAGCCAGGACACTTCCACCAGTGACACATGTGATATTGGGGAAAATGTTTTGTCTTCCTGTGTCAGCTGCCTGTTGGGATCGTGGAGGTGATGCTGCCTGCACTTCTGACAGCCGTATCGGTTAACTCCTAAATGGCTGTGCCTTGCAGAGGCAACGAGACCAAAGTTTGATCAGGGCTTTGCTCTACTAGTTACTGTAATCTGTGTGGATGGGGAATGCTCCAGGCCCTGAGCATTAGTAGTGCAGGGCAAGGAGGGAGAAAACAACTGGTTGGAGTTGTTTTCTAACATGTTAAGACCCCAGCACAAGCAAGTGCACGTCTGTCCTGCCAGTCTCCTCCTCTTCCTCTTGTGCCACCCCTTGAGGTCAGTGTAAAAGGGGCGACTGATTTTTACTCTCTTGCTTGGGTGACTCTCCACCCAGGGCAGTGCAGCAGGTCCAGGTTCCAGCAAACTGTGCATGTTTTCCAGCATAGCTGTGACCTCAGGAAGGAGATAAAGCAAGGTGAGAATGGAGGGAAGAGTCCTGCAGTGCTGCTGGAGCACAACCTGCTTCATGGCATTGGTCCTGAAACAGAAAACTGGAGGATTGATCTCTAAAGTAAGGGGATCTAGCAAAGCAGAGGAGAAGTGTCACTGCTGGAAAGAAAGTGAAGAATTCTGGAGTTGTTTCGGTGGCATGTTGAGCCCAAGAATGTTTTCATGCAGAGGCAGCAGAAATCCGGGTGTGCTCGCTGCTCCTTTTAGGCTTGGCACCCTCATCTGTAAAAAGATCCCCCAGCAAAGGTTAGGAAACGCAATCCCCTTCCAGAGACCCAGCCCCGAGGGGTGCGAGCGGTGTCCGTGGCCGCCCCCCCCGTGCGGATCGGCCCCATCCCGGTGGCTTCTCGTCCCTCCTTCAGTTTTGGCCGTTCACCTCAACGCTGGGAGCCAATTGGTAAGTTCTCCCAATCCCTTCCCTTGGGGTTGGTCGCTGGAAATGGATTTATTGGCGCCTGGGCTGCCCAACGGCTGCTTGAAGTAGTTGGGGTGGGAGCAGAGTGCAAGGGGTGTCCAGGGATCCCCGCGAGGTGCAGCCCAAATCATCTCCCCAGTCCCAGCCTCCCGCGGGCAGCAGAGAAGAGGGCGCCAGCAGAGCAGCTCCAGGCACCCGGTTCCTTCCTGCACTTCAGTTTTCTGCTAGAGGCGGACTGTGGATTTGGCATCTAATGACCCCTAAAGGATAAAATATTTGATCTATCCTAAGGGAGGAAAACCCCAATTGTAATATATCTTTTGTTTGAATTCAAAAGAAGAGCTTACCATTTCAAGCACGACGACTCAAACGTTAGAAGAGTTGTTATTTGAAGAGCAATAAGCGTCGGACCTGCAGCTCCATAGACTGAAGCTGCCACGTGCCTCCCACCAGGATTGTCCAGGACTCCCTGTCTCTGAAGATACCAAGTGCTTATAACTGGTCACGAAAAAAAGAGGAATAGTGGTCTTTGAATAACATTTGAAGGAGCTGGAACAGATGAACTTGTATCTTTCTGCTGAAGCTTTTTCACTCCAACAAGGAAGTAATTTTATTTTCTTGGCTTAAAACTTGTTGCTGTTTGCTGCTTGCACATTGAGACCTGAAGGAAGCTCTGTAAATCGCACTGCTAACACAGAACCTGAGCTTTGACCCAGTGCTTTCAATAGCGCCACAGTCCTCTCCTGTGGATGCTGAAGCCTACAAAGCACTGAACGTCTTCTGTGTTTGGCATATTTGTCTTCTTTCTTTTACCTTAAAGGTAAAGCAGCCAGGTAAAGGTAGAGCAGCCAGCACCAGCCCGTTGATATCTCATCACCACCATGGAAGAAGTCTGGGTTGTATATCTGTGCCTGATCCTGCTCATTATGGTGCTTCTTCTCATGAGGCATAACCCGCATTTGGAAGAGGCCAAGAAGGACAGGGAAAGCAAAAGCCCCCCGCCGTCCTCTTCCTTTTTCCCCAGTGCTGTTGGCAAGCAGCTGGAGCACACCCAGGAGGAGCTGGAGCACTATCTGGAGAGGCTAACCCATGTCTTCTTCGACTCGGAAGAGAGGAAACGGGATGGCCACCACGAGCACCAGCACCAGCATCAGCATCGAGTCGCTGGTGCTACGTCTGAAACTAAAGAGCATGCGGGGAAGGAGAGAGCATTTCCTCAGCACATGCCGAGCCACACGAGGGTTCAGGTATGAGGCCTCTAGAGAATTTGCAACTCTACTGGGTTCAGAGCTTCTGGCTGAAGCAGTGGGTTCTGCTGAAATAGGTGTCCATGGACGGGGTTGGGAAGGAGGGCGCATCACGCTGTGCTGAGGTGTGACACCAGGTCGTGCTTCTGCACCGTGGCTTTCAACACGCAGCTCCGCGTGGCACCAGTTGTGTGGATGCTCCAGGTGTAAGCAAGACGCTAATGCTGCTGTTATCAGATGTGCACACGTGCACATCCCTGTGGTGAATTACACTCCTTCCTCTCTTTTTAGAAGCAGATGGTTTTTTTACTTAAAGAAATAACAGGGCAGCTCTTTAACTGTTACAAATCTACCCACTTTGCCCACCTAAAGTAACATTTTGCCAGTTTGCTCAGATAAAGATCCGGCCCTGTTGCGTAGAGCAGCTCTGCAGACACCTACCCTAGCCAGCAGTGCTGGATATGATGTGACATGATATGATATATAATATTAACCCTTTGGAAATATCACATTATTTTTCTCCTGGGCAAGATGATTGTGCACATTGCACTCTGCAAAGACGAGAGGCACTATTGTGAGCCCGCGAAATTCTCCTGGCCTTGGCCAAGGCCCTTTTTTAGGCAGTGAAACCAGATGCATGCCTTTATATTTTTATCGTTATCCTCACGGCAATACATCAGATTTTGCCCTTGGGATGACAGAGTTTCATGGCCTCTGTGCGAGGCTGTATTACATTGGAGAGCAGCTGTTTGTATTCTTCATCCCTGAGACAGGTA